TCTAAGCTGTTGCTGCATACTGATACTGACACAAGGTGGTTTTGTACTTCTAGTGTAATGATCTGCAGGTATGAAATGGTTCTGTTGCTTAGTGCCGCTCCAAATAAGGGGATCAACTGGGCCAGCTGTGAAAGAACAAGAACCGTGATGTCAGAATAAATCCAAATGCGCTCTCAAACTTTTTTTTTTTTGCCAAACTCTGCATTCTTTGGGATTCTGAGAGAATGAATGGCCCACTTCGTCATGGTAACACACTGTACACAAACAAAAATGAAAGGACAAGATGTACAATCTGATTAGTATTGCGTTTCAGTGCATAAACAAAAAAAACTGTCCTTCTTTTTTTAGTCATTCACAGAGAGAGCACACATTTCCAAATGATAACTCAATAAACATGCAGGTGTAAACGGAAATGACTTTACATGCTATGGAAAGTTCCAGAGTCTTCTACCACTCACAGCACAGTTTCACAGTTTCCACTAAATTATTAAGCAGCAAAAAAAGTTTCCAACGTTGATAATACAAATTATTAATAATTGGCAATAACGGAGCACCAAATCAGCATTTTTAATAAGAAAGATAAATGTTTTATGGTGAATCTTACATAAACATCCAGTTCATATTTCACCCTAAAATCCAAAATGAATTAATAAATAAACACTATATTTAAAAACTGCATAATCAGCATATACAGTATGTGTGTATATATATATATGTAGTATATAAAGGATGGATAGATTTGGATTTTCCAGACTTACTCCTGCAATAACCATAAGTTTTTCATGGCCTCAGTTTACCAAAGACCTGAAACTACACTGGTCAAAGCTATTCTCAAGAGCTCTGTGGTCACAATAGCAGTCACAAGCAATATGCTTCTGAAATGGGCTCAATATTTATGAGCGGGTTACTATGTAAATAGATTCAGCAAACAATTGAAGAGGAAAAAAGGCTTTTCTGTTTGTCTATGCTGTTTCCTGGATCCGCGTGTGCTAGATGGACTGTTCTCTAATTCGCTCAGCTGTCAGAGTTGGCAATGCACAGTTGCACTATAAGTTTGATGCTTGGCTATCTAAATCAGTGCACTGAGAATATTAGAGTATTTAAGATTAGTATTAAAGATTGAAAACCGCATCCTGATTGTGTGCTGTGGGTGGTTGGTGTGTGACGTTTTGTATATTAAAACTCATTCAGACACAATTTACATGCATTTTGCAACATAAATGTAGGTTATTAACACCATAAACCCATTTCTTTGACTAATAATAGGCGCACTGTGGCATCTGAATTCAGTGAAGCATTGCTCAAAACCCATATCTGCAGACAACACTTAAATTGTTAACGTTCCAGAGAATCTCTGTAGTTTCTCACAGCGTTTTAACACACAAGGCCTTTGTTTTCCACAAGCTTAAAGCAGAGAGACCAGAAAGAAGGGAAATCTTCACTTCTTGTAACAGCGCCCTCTTCTGCTATTTCTGACATTAACAGTATGTTTCATGTGTTTTTTCATAATAGTTTTTTGTTTAGAATTACTACTGATCTGTAGCAGATAAATACACTATGGAATATTTGATCAAAGTTTTGAGGCACACAAACTAAAGAACATTACGAACAATGAAATCAAATGTATAACTCCCCTATAAATGTCAAATCTGAATATATATGATTATAGACATGTAGATATGTATGTATAAAATCATTTGAATTAAGTATTTTATAATGATCCACTTTGCATAATATATTGAATAATTTTAAAAACAGGAATGCTTATGAAATGCTTGCATTGTAACAATGCCTTAAGCTATAGAGCATGAACAAACATTTAGATGTATCAACCATATTTCTGGTCCATTCTCAAGGAAAAGAATATACACTTTAGTTAAAAAATATATAATAACTAACATTTTAAAGGTTATACAGTTTGTTTTTGTTTCTGTTCTTGTTTGCTTTAAAGAAAATCAGTGCTTTTATTCAGCAATGATGCATTAAATTTATCAAAAAAGTGACCGTAAAAATTTTACATTGTTACACCTTTCCGTTTTTTTTTTATGTTGTTCCTCTGAACTTTTTATCCATCAAAGAATCTGGAAAAAAAACGATATCACTGTTTCAACAAGAATATTGAGCAGCACAACTGTTTTCAACACTGGTATTACATAGGGATGCACGATATTATCGGACCAATATCGGAATCGGCCGATAATGGCTTTAAATGTAAATATCGGCGTCGGCCCGATATGAAAAATTATGCTGATATGACTTGCCGATAAGATGAATACATTCCCTCACATGTGCTCAGGGTGTACTAGAGATGAGATCAAGTCAACAGTGCAATTAGATCAGGTCAGCATTGTGGCTCATTCTTGAAGCAAAGTTTTGCCTGAATGGTGATTGGATTACTGTTTTGGATCTCTGCATTTAATCTGAGAATGCATGTACAGAATGACATGTTCGGTGTGTGATAGAGTAAACAGTTAATAGCACGTGCAGCGCAGCCTCCCCGGGTCCTAATACCCGCTCAGTAAGAAGAAGTTTCAATTCCTTAGGGGGCGCTGTTGGCCTACTTCTAATAAAATGAAAGCAAAATACACAAATAATATTTAGACTGTGTTTCTGATTAAATAAAGCAGTAATTGATGCCATAAAATCATGAGTATGTTTTGATTTAAAGGTCAGAAGCTATAGCTTACATGAAATAATTTTTTATAATTTTATATACTGATTTATTTATTAATGTGTTATGTTATATTTTTTAAACAAATTATGAGCGCTAAAAGATTTTCAGAATTTTTACAACTCTTTTGCTTTAGACCCTTTACAAATGTTAAATCTTAAAATGAAATGTTTAGGTTACCACTGCATCTTTCTGGAAAACAAAAATGCAGTGATTTTAATATATATTTTATTTATAGTTATTTTCAAATCTTCAGTGTACTGTCATTATAAAATAACTTTATTATTGTTTATTTAATTCTAACAAATAAGTTCTTGTTGAAAAACGAAACAAAATTTTAAATATCGGTATCGGCATAAGCCAAAATGAGTTGAAAATTATCGGCATATCGGATATCAGCAAAAATCCAATATCATGCATCACGTGGTAATAATTGAAAATGTTTCTTGAGCAGCAAATCAGCATGATGATTTCTGAAGGATCATGTGACACTGAAGACTGGAGTAATGATGCTGAAAACTCAGCTTTGCCATTATAGGAATAAATGATATTTTTAATTATAGTAGAAAACAAGAGTGTGTGAGATGGTCTAGACTCTAGAAAATAGAATTCTAAATATTACTAAATATATTTTTTTGTATTTTATATAAATGTAGCCTTGGTGAGCTTAAGAGACTTCTTTGAAAAACAAAAATATCGTACAACTAATATATATATATATATAAGAAGAAAATTGTTCAGGACCACTCAATTAAAATTGTGTAGAAATACCAGATTTGAAGCAGAATTCAGAATTGTTATTTAGAGATGACCATAAGCCATTATAATGGCTTTAAATGTAAATATCGGCGTCGGCCCGATATGAAAAATTATGCTGATATGACTTGCCGATAAGATGAATACATTCCCTCACATGTGCTCAGGGTGTACTAGAGATGAGATCAAGTCAACAGTGCAATTAGATCAGGTCAGCATTGTGGCTCATTCTTGAAGCAAAGTTTTGCCTGAATGGTGATTGGATTACTGTTTTGGATCTCTGCATTTAATCTGAGAATGCATGTACAGAATGACATGTTCGGTGTGTGATAGAGTAAACAGTTAATAGCACGTGCAGCGCAGCCTCCCCGGGTCCTAATACCCGCTCAGTAAGAAGAAGTTTCAATTCCTTAGGGGGCGCTGTTGGCCTACTTCTAATAAAATGAAAGCAAAATACACAAATAATATTTAGACTGTGTTTCTGATTAAATAAAGCAGTAATTGATGCCATAAAATCATGAGTATGTTTTGATTTAAAGGTCAGAAGCTATAGCTTACATGAAATAATTTTTTATAATTTTATATACTGATTTATTTATTAATGTGTTATGTTATATTTTTTAAACAAATTATGAGCGCTAAAAGATTTTCAGAATTTTTACAACTCTTTTGCTTTAGACCCTTTACAAATGTTAAATCTTAAAATGAAATGTTTAGGTTACCACTGCATCTTTCTGGAAAACAAAAATGCAGTGATTTTAATATATATTTTATTTATAGTTATTTTCAAATCTTCAGTGTACTGTCATTATAAAATATGTTTATTTAATTCTAACAAATAAGTTCTTGTTGAAAAACGAAACAAAATTTTAAATATCGGTATCGGCATAAGCCAAAATGAGTTGAAAATTATCGGCATATCGGATATCAGCAAAAATCCAATATCATGCATCACGTGGTAATAATTGAAAATGTTTCTTGAGCAGCAAATCAGCATGATGATTTCTGAAGGATCATGTGACACTGAAGACTGGAGTAATGATGCTGAAAACTCAGCTTTGCCATTATAGGAATAAATGATATTTTTAATTATAGTAGAAAACAAGAGTGTGTGAGATGGTCTAGACTCTAGAAAATAGAATTCTAAATATTACTAAATATATTTTTTTGTATTTTATATAAATGTAGCCTTGGTGAGCTTAAGAGACTTCTTTGAAAAACAAAAATATCGTACAACTAATATATATATATATATATATAAGAAGAAAATTGTTCAGGACCACTCAATTAAAATTGTGTAGAAATACCAGATTTGAAGCAGAATTCAGAATTGTTATTTAGAGATGACCATAAGCCATTATTTATTGAAATGTGAAAGTCAAGCCATCATAATAAATAGATTCCAAAGCTAAAAATTCTGCTAATACTTTTCCTTGCCCAGTGACATTACACAAGCACAAGATCAATTGCAATCGTGAAACTATAAGACTCCTTCAGCAAACATAAAAAAAAATCCTAAACAAATGGAGAATTACGCTCACGTCTTTCCACACAACGTTTTCACTTCATCACATTAGCTCATGACAAGTGAGCTCACAGAAGCATCAAGCTGGTCAGTAATGGAGAAAACGTCCCACGCATTACCGCCGCCTGAGACCACACTGCTGTTCGCCTTCACCAAACATCTGGCAGACAAGCAGACATGCAACCTTTTTTGCATCTTGCATCAAAAAAGGAAAAATTGGGACAAAGTGACATGCTGTGACTACTAAGATTTGTTAGATACAGCCATTTAAAGGTCCAGATGAACACAGTTCAACTTGGTTTTCACAATACTTGTATTTTTTAACTGACGGTTACGTCGAATACCTGTTGATCGGAGGGTAATATTTGTAACTGGACTTTGGATGAGATTAGCTTTTGATAGTTTAAGCAGTCTCGAGCAAACCAGCTTGTTTCCTCCCTCCACAGCCCAGAGATTGGCCTGTGCCCCAGCTAGAGACACAGCACCTGTCAAAGAGAAGCAGACGACTCAGAACAGACATGAAACTGGGTGGTGAGAAGACAACTAAGATGGCCAGATGAATTTATGAGTATTAACTATGTACTTTGTTTCAGGATCATTCTGAACTTTCTCTTCTCCTTGATGCCTCATAAGATAAATAAAGGTGTCAAATCATGAAAACGTGATTCTTTTTTTTTTCTTCTCGTTTTAAATAAAACTTGAAATGTATTGAAACCAATCAACAAAACAGTCAGGTTTTTTTTTTCTTAATTATTAAAAAAATTCAGTGTATCATTCTAATAACCTATAAAGGATGTGCTGTGCATACCAACAAACGCAGGGATGCTGATGTTCTGGCCGTAGTTGACCCTCATGATGGGGGCTATGACTTCATCAATGAAGCGCTGGGAGACGCCCAACTCTAACAGAGACTCGGAAAGCGAGCGGCGGGTCATGTTGATAAATCCTGAACCCCCAAGAGAGTGCAGCAGCTCTTCTACTGAACTGAAGGCATAGCCATGGGCCTGGTATTTATAGATTCTGGCAGAAAACGGACAGCAGAATGTGTTAAAGGGGTCATATGATGCTGCTAAAAAGAACATTATTTTGTGTATTTTGTGTAATGAAATGTGTTTATGCGGTTTAAGGTTCAAAAAACACATTATTTTCCACATACTGTACATTACTGTTTCTCCTCTATGCCCCGCCTTTCTGAAACACATCGATTTTTACAAAACTCATCGGTCTGAAAAGCGAGGTGGTTTGGCCAGCTATCCAGTGCGTTGTGATTGGCCGAATACCTCAAGCGTGTGACGCAAATGTTACGCCTCTACCATACTGTTGATGCCATGTCCCGGCCGGAGTGACGAGACAAAAACATTAAAACCCATTATAAACGAGGCATTCGTTGCATCCAGTGGGGACATAATTACTGATTATAATGCCTTATACTGTCTTTTTACGCGTTGTGTTGCATCGCGCCGCGTAAACATAAAACCATGTCTGCATTTGTGATCGGAGAAATGACAAACAACAAGTGCTACTCTACACTGCTCAAAACTCGAGTGTGATTCATCAGTGGCAAATCCTTTAAATATAAAAAACTTCCTTAACAGTCTGTGAGTCAGAACAGCTGGCATTGTAGTCTACTCTCACAGGATCAGGAAACTGTCCTTCATAAAATGTGCTGCACACATCTGAATATTTGGGTTGAACTGTTCTGGAACAGTGTTGTAAATACAACTTAACCACTGATTTCTAGTCGTGTCCTCTTTTGGAAGACCAAACAAAGTAGTTTCACTTTCACAACAAAACACACAGCGGGCTAGAGTTAGCGGCGGTCGGGTGGGCTTGCGGCAACCACATGTGACGACCCCGGGCTGGACTCCGCTTCATCCACGGTGAAAGACGATCCGGCGATCCACATCGCGAAGTTGATGTATTTCCTCAGCGACCAGCACGGATCAGCTCCAGGCATGACGAAGCAGATATCGTCCTCTTTTGGAAGGCCAAACAAAGCAGTTTCGCTTTCACAACGAATCACACAGCGCCTTCACGACATGGCGGCAGCAACAATACTACAGCCAGAATAAAAGTTAGTCCTTCTTTCTTTGCGTGAACATTTGGGCAGCGTTATGCAAATCTTCCCACATCGTGACGTAGATATGTGGGGGCGTGTTAGAACGAACCATTTTAGGTAGGCGTGGCTGACTCTTAACTTTTATAAAGAATATCTCTTTGGATTTGAGACTTTAGTCTTTGCAACTTTACAGATCTTCTTTATGCACCAAGAGCTTGTTACACTTCAAAGAGAAAGGAAAAATGTCAATCGCATCATATGACCCCTTTAAAGCAAACGCGCAAAAGAGAGGAAGAGAGGATGATGGTAAGACGCGTCAAGGTTCCCCAATTCAAGAATCTACATACAATTTTTGTCATGTTGATCAGATTATAAAAGGATTATTTGGATGCATCTAATGTAGCTATTGATCATTCACAACTCCTTTGTACAAAAGGTCAGATTTCCTTGCTTTCCTCCATTTGGAACACTCTCAAAACATGCTAGATAACACAGACCATCAGGTTTTGCGCAAACCTGTGGAGCATTCGTTCGATGGACTGGTTCTACAGCCTTTCCCTCACCTCATAAACTTCTCCATGATCTCCTCCACCCACATCTGCAGGCGGATGAAGCTGATCCCATAGCGCCACCACAAGCGAAACAAATCCAACAGGTACCAATCCGTCTCCTCCAAAATAAACTCGTCTCCATTGAACACTGCTGTTTTCCCAGCCACACTCTTTCGGTACTTCAGCCCTGTGGACGGGTAACATGAGAGACAGCAAAAAGCACTGAAGAAAACAGAAAGATTTGAAAACAAACCCCCTTACTGTAAATACGAGAAATATAAGAAGTCTCTGCCAAGACTACTGCTCATACCCAGCATTAAAGTCAATAATTACTAAATGTTACATTTTAGCAATACCCTTACGAAAAAGAAGTTTATTCAAGTGTGCTATTAGTATACTTCTTTTAAACAAAAAATAGGAAAGTATACTTCCTAAAATAAACTTGAAGTATACTACTTTTTGGTAAGGGTATGAATGAATGCAGCTAACCCAGTTGCTGGACAAAGTCTTGCATGTGCAGGTTGAGGGAATGAATGATGGATCCACCGGACTCGTAGTCTTGGTGGTTCACAGTGACTGTAGCCAGACGACCCCCGACTGACCCTTTCTCGAATACATCAATGCTCACTTCCGGTCCGAAATGTTGCCTAAGGAAGTGAGCTGTAGCGGTTCCTCCGATTCCAGCTCCAACAACAGCTGCAAACACGACATCAGACTGTATTACAGTGCCTTTTATTGCAGAATAATTCATATCATGTACATTTTGGCCTACCTATTTTAGAAGGCGGGGCACCATCAAGTTTGGCAAAATCCGGATCCGCCAATACATGCACGAAAGAAAGAAGAACAAATAGATACTGATTCATGTTTGTTTATAAGAAAAGCAGGCTAAACGGATGCAGGAGCCTTTGTGCAGTTCTCCTCAACCCTTGGCGATTGTGATACTGACAAAAAACCGCAAAATATCTGATGATTTAGATCAAGTTCGCTTCGACAGAAGAGTAAAAGCTATTCGGCTACTGTAAGACAACAAGAGCGCATGATCTTGCACGCGCACGCTTTCACCAATCAGAGCAAACGAGACTCTCTTCTGGCCAATCAGAGCAGTAGAAACTTATCCTCGACCAATCGGAGTAGGAGAAACGTTCTTTCTTCCTGGATACGATAAAGCCTGATGATGATGGAACGGTCTTCTTCAAAACGACTGGTCCGGTGTCATTTTTATTGAAAGTTAAAAGCAATGCCATCAGTCACACGACCTATATTTAAAACACAAGACATTTTAAAATAAGCAATATGACTGACAGATAGAGAGCGTTTTCGTATGGCTAAAATTAGGCTATGCTTTAAAAAAAATGTGCAAAGTCACCAATAAATAAATTAATTACTTGTATGTAAAATGTCTTAAAATGAGAACTAAACTGAAAACAATTAATTTTATTAAACAATTCAATTCAGTTAGGTTCAATTCATATAAATAAAATGTTAAATAATGAAATTAAATAAATGAACAGAGAAATGTATTATTTAAATAAATGATATGAAATGTATTTATTCGTTCGTTTGTTTGTTTGACATTTTTTTAAAGGTTGAACAAAGCGTTCCGGTGAGATGGCCATCAACGGGAGTGTTAGCTGTTAGTTCATTCTGGGTCAAATAGAAATTCCCTTTTAGCCACCTGGTTTCTTAGAGGCTATGTTTTTTCCTGCTGATTTCCCAAACAAAGATTATGCTCAAGATTAAAAGGGATTTTCATAGAAAATCACAATGACTGGTGCCAGGAACATACTTGATACATGTCCAGGAAATATTGATGTGGCCATACCCTGTAGAGTTTGAATAGATTACAATACAGTTATATATATATATATATATATAGAGAGAGAGAGAGAGAGAGAGAGAGAGAGAGAGAGAGACCTCAGTGTGTTACCCTACCGTCCACCACAGTGATCCAAAGTATGTATGTGTTTCTATGTAAGTTAAAAACTGTGGTATCAAATGCTCACATGTTATAGTTTGTTACAGTTGACTACTTCTAAGATGTTATAATATTCCATTATATTACAGTGATGTTCATTTAGTTATTAATATTGTTATTATCTTATTATTTTTAATTTTTGTACATGTATACTAAGCTTTGGCAATATTGTATCATTTACATTCATGCCAATAAAGCAATTTTTGAATTGAATTGAGTTATATACATGTATATATATATATATATATAGAGAGAGAGAGAGAGAGAGAGAGAGTTATATACATATATATATATATAGAGAGAGAGTTACGAAAAATCATGATGGCTGATGTCATAACACACGATAAAAACAACTAAAGAAAAGTCATTACAGGACATTTCAGGATGTGCAAAATGATTTCTGACGTTTACAGCCATGCTGCGCTGTTGTAACGGTAAAGAAACACATTAAACGTTCGGCCTACTTTCAGTGGAAATGCTTTTAGAATTCATTAGTTATTGTTGAAAAATAAACCGAAGGAAACACAATGCACAGCGCATTCTCGTATACGGGCAAGGAAATGCGTTAAAGCACGAAAACCAGAACGATCTCCAGAGCAGGAGGTCTGATATTTGGCATTGTTTTGGTACCCTTGGAAACTGGGCCGAAAAAGACTCTTGTATGTATAAGGAAAGTGAAAAAAAGTTCGTCTAATAACAGCCATATGACGGTTAGCAAAGACGAGATCTCGCACTCTTGATTGGCAAACCGAACAGGGTTAGGATTTCCCCGTCTCAACCCACGGACTTTACAGAGCGGAAATGGTGCATTAAATACTTAACCAACATTTCCTCCTCCTCTGGCGGTTGGGGTTTTCTCAACACCAACGTCGCTTACACGTAGCCTAGTCTGCAATAACAGACTACTGATGGAAAATTAATGTTATTCGATCAACCTTTATCCATGAAACATGATTGCACCAGCATGTGCTGTTGGTGGTGTGACGTGGGTCTATATTATCATGGGCTGCGTGTTGTGCAATTATGGCTATCTTTGCACTTTGAGCAAGATGGATACCAATAAATGTTGAAGTAAAACACATCATTTAGTTACACTTGAAGCAATTTGTGAGGTATTTTTTCAATAGTTTTATACATACTACAGTTCAAAAGTTTAGGGTCAGTAAGATTTAGTTTTGAAAGAAGTCAACTGATTGTATGTGTATACTATTGATGTTATTTTGATGCATTCATTAATCAGAAAAGTTACAGTAAAGACTATTATCATGTTACAAAAGATTACTATTTAAAATAATAAGCTGTTCTTTATCCTCAAAAATCTTACAGGGCCCAAACTTTTTACATTGTTAAACGGGATTTAACAGTTTTTTGAAACGGAGAATTCTTGTGTGGCACTTTAAGAAAAGACAATAAGTCGCAGTAAAAATGATGTCAATCATATCACAACATTTGTTTGCGGTAGAAATTCTTTTGACAAACTGTAATGATAACATACGCGCACGAGAAATAAAAGTCAGCATGAATGATCTAAACAAACGTAATTAAAATCCAATCAACTGTAAACATTATTTAAACCATACTTTATCAGGGATCTTAGCTTTATTGGATTCTTGCAAGGAAGTTGTACTGAGCTTGACAAATACTAGTAGGATGCATCTGAAAGAAAATGTTCTTGAACAAACAAAGAAATGCTGGAATCATGAAACCAAAAATCCCGCTACACCAGAGACAAAGTAGTTGTGTGACACATTTTAAATAACACTAATCTTATCACATATGAGAAATGATCTAGGTGATTTTTATTGGCATTGTACCATTAAGTGACATTTTCATTTTGCTTAGGTCAAGTAAAATCACCTGCTTGATGCATTCACAGTAGATTTGAATGGAGCTCTTGGCTTTGAGAACTGAATTCCAAGGGTGTCTGTTGTATATTCAGCCCACGGAGTTCAGTTCTTAAGTTTGGATGCTCACAGCATCTGCTCTGACCTACGACCTGAACCAAAACGCCTGCTACTGGACTGGAAGGTACTGATGCAGTTTATTATGCATATATTTTTTAAAACAGTCCTCTTCTTTCAGATTAGAGATGACTGCTGTTTTTAGTCACAGTGTACTAGTTACTAGTCTGAATTACTAATCAGCTACCTTTGTATTAAGCATGTATAAATGTTGCTTAAGTGGATTCTATCTCGAAGTTGATAGAAAACTATTGCTATAGTGTTATATGATTATTTATTTATGACATTCAAGTGTCCACACTTGTAAGTGAAGAACTTGTTTGGTGAAAATACACCAGTGTATATTTTTATACTTTGTTGATGTCAAGTCAGAACGATAGCATTAAATTGTGTTTTTCATGCGATAAAAATCGAAATGATTTAATTACAAAAATTTTGCAGCACATTTACTGTATATACAGTTATATTAAATATTAGTTTTCTATTGCTTAACTTTTGTTGTGAAGTGTTGTGGAAATTAAAAAAAAAATATATATATATATATATCAGTGTGATATATGATATGCATTTTTATTGTAATTTTACAATTCTTGTGTTTATGTTATTCGGTATAAGTGAAAATTTCAATAAGGTCATTGTTCTTTCAAACATCGTTATTAACTTTCAGTGCTTCGTTAAAACTGGTTCACTAAAATACTTTGAAGTTGAATTTTTTTTTTTTGCAGTCAGTGGCGAAATTCAGATTTTTATCACATTTTCCTACATTTTATTACCAAGTTGTTTTAAGAGCTGATAACCAAGAGAACCAAAATAACATATACTTTTCCCCCCCAAATACTCTTATCTGATGGTCAGCTGTTAAATCACACTCACTTCTTGGCATCCTTAAAATAAAATCTAAAAAATAGAGATATTTCATCAAAATAGTAAATTTAAAAATGAACCACTAAAAAAAACTTCAGTGTCTCTAGTTGTTTACAGCGTTCTTGTAAATGATGTCAATATGCTTAGTAATCCTTTTCTATTGTAAATGCATGCTGTGAATGATTCATTCAAGTGTCTTTCTTTCTATCTTTTATTTTTATTTTTATTCAAAATCATAGATTTCTCTATGCTGACATACTAGATTCTCTGCTTTAATCTGCCCCTTTCCTATAATCAACTACAAGCTCGTATTCAGACCTGCCTCCATCAAGTTAAAGGGACAGTTCACCCCAAAAAATATTTTTATTTCATCATTTACTCACCCTCAAGTTGACCCAAACTAACTGAGTTTCTTTCTGCCATTGAAAAAAAAAGAAGAAGATATTTTGAAGAATGTTGGTAACAAAAAGATTGATGGTAGCTGTTGACTTCCAAGTTATTTTTTACCGTACCAATGGCATTCCATAGCATTCTCCAGATTATCTTCTTCTATTTGGAACAGTTTGAGGGTGAGTACATGATTTTGGGTGAACTAAACAGCAGGATAGTACGGTGACGCATTGCTGCAACACACATATTTTTTTCCCACTCAATTATATCGTTTTTACGACATAACATCTAGTTTTAACCAGAAAATATGCCGTTTTAACGAGAAAAGATGTCATTATTACGAGAAAATATGTAGCTTTAACGAGAAAACATCTCGTTATTATGAGAAAAGATGCCGTTTTAACGAGAAAAGATGTCATTATTACGAGAAAAGATGTCGTTTTAACGAGAAAAGATGTTGTTATTATGAGAAAAGATGTCGTTAAAACGAGAAAACATCTCGTTATTACGACATAATTGAATGGAAAAAAATATGTGTGTGGCAGCAATGCGTCACCGTAGGATAGAACCAAGTCACCACCCTACATTTTTTTTTCTTCAATAATCCATATATGTCACAATACAGAAAAAAAAGGCCTGTTGGTATTTCTGGTACATCGCAACTTTAAACTCATGTAGTTTGTTTTACTACTTCTTTTTGTATAGTAAGTGATTAGGCTCTTTTGATTTGGGCCTTTAATCATCCACGATGAACACGAAAAAACAAAACAGAACACTTTAGCAACCACATAACAGCACATTAAAATTGGCCAGAACACTCTAGCAACTGTAGAGCAACATGAGAAAAAACACCCAGGACACTTTAGCAACCACGTAGCG